CARMASMACCAAAGGATCTTCCTTTAATGCATCACATTGGTGGGCCCCTGCACTTGCATCCAGATGCTTATGATACTAGTAGTCACCACCAATATCAACTGGATTTAAATTTTCAAGTACAAAAGATAGGAAACATGAACAACAGCAAACAAARCAAGAACAGTTGGAAAAATTGATTCAAAATTGTTGATCCTTTGTTATTGAGCACAAAAATTTGTTTACAAGAAGATACATCACTTTGATCTCTTTGGTTGCCAGCATATCTGATTCTAGCTCACACGAGAAACTTTGAGGAATCATCAAGAAGTCCTTTGCCTTTCAGAGCACCATTTTCAACTTCAAAAGCAGAACCAGGAGTCTTCTCTGGTCATGATTATGAATTAATTCAATATTGAGGTAGAAATGKCCTACTTCTCATATACTACTAGTAGGTCAAATTAGTCTGACAATGAGTTTATCTGAAGAGATAAAGTCAAGAACTTAAAAAGTTTTATGCAATCATTAACACTGGTGAAATATTAATATCCACAATACCTCCAGTAGAAATATTAATTGTAGATAATTTTCATTAATAAGGAATCTACTGTTTTACAGTAGATCCCCACTGTTAAATAATCAACAAATGCTGGCACTACCAGATTTACTAGCTTCTTATTGTTTCATTGATCTAAATTGATAATARTAATTGCAACATGACAAACACATTTCTACAAAAGGCAAAAAATCACATCAAGTTAAACACACATGGGAACATCTATCCACCATGATGTCCTCCCTTGAGATTTCAGCTAGACTTTTCTGCTGCACAAGTTACTGTGTTTTGTACCATGTAGAAACCTTGTTGTTTGACAAAGACAGAAGCAAATTTCAAGTACAACACAATTGTTATAGTGGCCTGCTTCTTGCATTCTTTATTACAAATGATGTGGGATTAAAGGAGGAAGATAAAAATGGACATCGCATGTATTACTGCTCCTGATCTCCACTCAAGTAATAATTCTCTAGATGTGGTAGAAAGCTACTACTACTAGTTGCTGGAGTTCTTTCTGAGTGAATATTTTCCTGATAGGAGTTGCAAAAGAACGCTCTCCATGGCCAGTCAGTATCCCAGCAACAAGSCTGGTGACAGGAATGGCTAATCAAGGATATC